TGAACGTATAATTTTTGGTAAGATTGTACCTTCCGGTTTTCATTTAACTTTGAGTGAGATAATTGTGTTCAAATAATGCATTAACTTTGTTGTCAACATATTTTTCCTTAATTCGTAGCTCTTAAAACCTTACCTATTGCCAAGACAACTTACCAAATAAAAATCATGATTTTTCCCTGATATTCTTTCCTATTTCCTGCTTTAAATTTATTTCTAATTAATTACTTTATTTGTAAAAGAATAACAACTCGATGTATGCAAGTGATTTCGCATTTCTTTCCTGACAATTTAATTTAATCATTTCCATACAACGTTGTTTTCTGTGTCAGATTATTGGTAAAAAATGTTTGGAATCTCCCGTGTTCTGAAGAAGCCCACCCAGGATCATGAATTGCAATTGATAATAATATATTGGAGACACAAAATGCTATAATTCACGCAATATGAAAACCTAAGTTGCTCTCAGTTTGCAGTCTCGAACATAACGACATTAACCTTTGTCCAAATTGATTCAAATGTGCTTAGATTTCAACAGGAAATATTGAAATGCACGTGCTGGATACCACCTTTATTTCCAATCGATTTGCGAGATTTAGTGAAATCCAAAAAGCCTCGAAATGTTGGTGTACCTCTTTCTCTATCCACAACGTTCTGGTGACTACATTAGCTCGTATATGATTTTAGGGTACTGATTCTTAAACGATTACTAACAAACTTTCAATCATTAGAGTTGATCGATACATCAGTGTTGAGTTAATTTCAATAATGAATCAAAATTCTCTATTCCCTTCGATAGTTATAGTACTTGCATCTGTAAATAAAATCTTACACGAGATAAACGATACTAGGAAAGTAATTTTGATTTAATTTGGTGTTATATATTTCTGACTTATGTCGAATCTGTTTCTTCAATACGTTGGATAATGTTGCTGTTTATCAACATGTATTCGATCATTTACTAATCCCATACATTGAGGTCAAGTTTTTAAAGCAAATTCAATAGAAAAGGCGTGGCTAATCATCAAGAGGAAATTCAAGAAAAAATCTTCATGAAAATCTGAAGAATCTGAATTATTGAACTGTGGACGTTAATGACACAGAATTGTCATAGATTTGTTCTTTCATTTCTACAAAGAATTAAATACATAGTAAATGCAAAGTTGTAAAGAAGAACTATAAGAATTTTTTTCAGAAAGAGATGCCGCCCAAGATGCGACATAGAAATTCGAAAAGTCAAATCGAAACAAATTCGAAAATTTCACTATATGGGAATTTTTAATAATTGACAAAAAATATGACTCGGACATTCTAGGACGTATAAGGTTAAGGAAACCTACCTTCCAACTGTTAAGAAATGTATTGAAAAACAGGAAAAATCATTAAAAACAAACAAAAAATTATTCAATTATTATTTAATATGAATACTCCAATATGTCAGGCAATGATCGAAAATTTCCTCAAACATGAACAGGAGAATTCTGAGATCAGTTCGATAGAAGAATTATGGTGATGCCATTGATGGACTATGTTAGTAACGAGGAAGCTTTTAAGAAAATTTTGGAGGAAGTGTCTTTTATACTTACTATCACAATGAAACGTTTGAAATTTGTATTCCACATAATGAGGAAATAAATTTTAGTATATGTGACAATCACAGAATAAATCGAAAGCTACAGGGACAGAGTGAAACGTCAATTAACTTACATAACGAGATTGTGTAAATTACAGAACAGGATCAGATATTAAAAAATATTAATATTGCTAAGAGCTACGAAAGATTAGGAAGTTGAGAAGAACCATGATCGTTTTCGCCCTGAAGGGACACAACATACACACACTTTATCTTCATTGATAACTAAATATATCTGCTGAACATGACAATGAATGACCTGAAATAATGCGTCTTCAACTTTTGAATAAAAAAAATCATTAAATATAACAGATATTGACGTAGCTGTAAGCATTCAAACGAAGCTGGATTTAAGATATGATAGATAGCTTAACGGATACTGTTTCAGAATATGGAATCGAGGGCCCTTGTCAGACGCGTTCTCTTTGGCACTATCCCCTTGAAAAAGACAGAAATCTGAGTCCTTTCTAACCCTCAGCGATGAGTAAAGTCAGAGTTTACACTGGAGTGGCAATCAGCCTAAGAAAAGGAAAACTCTGTATTCTTGTGATGAAGGCAATATAAAACCGCCTAAAAGTCTTCACCAAGTTTGCATCGTAATTCAAATAAAATAAAGTATACATACCTTTGAAGAATTATGATTATCTACTAGCAAAGTATAATGTAGAATTTCAAAAGAAACACTCTATAACATTGCAGAAAATCAACTCAGTGCGAATAAACGATGAAGAGGCTGGAGACTTCAGAAGTCATGTTGTCACTTGATTCCAGGAACACCGTCAAAATAACTATCGATGTGCATACAAATAATAAGTACAGACAAAGAAAGCGACCAGAATAATAAAAGAAATAGAAAAAGAAAAAAAATTGTTTGCCTTAGTTATCGATTGCCTCGCCCTACTGCTGTCAAGTTTTCTTCGTGTTGTTTCGCCGTTCATCGGTCTAAGTTCTTTACAGAGTAAATAAAGATTACCTGGAACATTATTGAGAATCAGTTTGGCAAAAGATCAAATCTCTCCAATTTCAGGTCCCATCCCACTTCTTACAAAGCTTTCATCGGTTTGCAAATAATCATCGAACACATTTGCTAACAAAAACCGACTATTCTTCCCCAGACAATCATCTTTTATACACCGCACCATTTTATATATATATATATATATATATATATATATATATATATATATATATATATATATATCCCAAAACCAGTCGGAAAATGTCATAGTCAAATATACTTATCAAAAAAAAAATCTATTAAAATAAAATCGGCAAATAGTATAAGATCAATCTGATAAATACCTTATTTTCGCGGACCACGTAGAAAAATTAATTCTTTAAAAAAGATATCTTTGATAAAACGGCATATTTCTAACGCACTATTCAAATAATAAAACCTCTATAAGTAGTTTTCAAGACGAGATCAATATACGTTCTCACGACTTTGCTCGATGATCACGAAGCATTTGTTTAGGAAGAAAACTAGCGGAGCGTTAAGCGGGAGGATCTGGAGAGACACCTTATGAGCCCGTACTCTGATGCCAGCAGGGAGGTCCCAGTGTAGGGGATGCCAGGTTTATTGAGGCCGGGCGCCCCGGAAGTAGCTTTTGCTGAGTCACCAGTGACTTGTGAGAAGATTGAAGAAGTTATATAGAAGTCGAGAGCGTGTTCTGCAGGTGGTCCTAATGGTGTGACATATGCTGTCTACAAGAGGTGACGCGGGCTGCTGAGATGTTTGCGGAGGTCTCTTCTGAAGATTTGGGAAGTTTGTGATGTTCTAGAATGTTGGTGTCGAGCTGATGGTGTGCATATATCGAAGGAGGAGAATTCGTTGACACTTAGTCAGTTTCACCCAATTTCTCTGCTGAACGTTGAGGGAAAGTTTTTCTTTAAGGTGTTTGTCAGGAGGCTGACGAGCTACCTGCTTGGGAATAACTATATAGACACTAGTATTCAAAAGGCAAGCGTCCTGGGGTTTCCGGTGTGCTTAGAGCATGTGTTAATGATTTGGACAAAGATCCGCGAGGCTAAAATAGGAAGGAAGAATATTCACGTCATCTGACTGGATCTTGCTAATGCGTAAGGTTTAGTTCCTCATAACATGATACTGCTGGCGTTGAAGTTCTACATTCCGCAGAGATTGTCTAGGTATTTATTTCAATCAGTTCATGATGCGTTTTTCAACGAGGAACTACACTACAAGTATGTGGAGCTGCAGAGGGGAATTGCTATGGGATGTGCCATCTCTCCAGTACAGTTTGTGATTGTGATGAAGGTGATTCTGAGAAGTCTGAAGCCAATGTACCGCTTCCTGAGAATGAGGTTAAAATCCGGGCATTTATGGATGATTTAACAATAATTCAAGACGATAGGAAAATAGCACATTTGGTTCAGGAAAGACTTGCAGAGTCAGTAGAGTGGAGTTAGATGGCCTTCAAACCAAAGTAGAGCAGATCACTGTCTATGAAGGGAGGTTCTGTCATTAATGAAATGTTTTCCATCGCAGATTAAAAGATACCAACAGGTCGCGGGAAGAGACTTGGGAGATGGTATACTTCCCTGTGACAGATCGTCATCGTGGGGTTGAAATCCAGCGACAAGCGGACGTGAGTTTGCGAAGCATAGATCAATGTGGACTTCCTGGGAAATTTAAAGTTTGGTGTATGCATTTTGGGTTGATGCCGAGACTAATGTAGCCGCTAAATATATATGAGTTGGCGCTGTCTTGAGATAATTGACAAGAAAACCAGTAAATGTATACGGAATTGGCTTGATGTTGCGAGGATTCTGCTGCCGGGCGCTTTGTATGGCAGCTCAGCCGCGGCTTCAATTACCTGTTACTTCTTTGGTGGAGGAATACAAGGTGCCAGTCCATGCTGTGTGAATCTAGAGATGCTGTAATCCGGGATTATGTGACGGAGTTGAAGACAAAAAGAATGTGGAAAGTGTCAGATGTGATGCAAGCAGTAGAAGGGATGGTAAAGCAGGAAGAAGTTGAGGGTGTTACAAGGAAAAGATGTGCTGAATTTGGTCTAGTTGTGAGGAAGCGATACTGGTTAAAGGAGCAACGCAAGTTACATGAATAAGGGTTCGGAGGTTCGAGAAGGATAAAATATTGGTACAGAATGTCCAACAGGTTCAATAAGATCAATGGCTCAACTGGGAGGTTATTGAAGGTGTTCAGATCAGTTGGTTTGATTGGTGGCGTCTCAGCGCAGTACATTTGAGATTCCTCATACAGGCATCTTATAATGTCGCGGCATCACTAGTAAATTTGAAGAAATGGCGGGTACAGGTGTCACCCTCCTGTAGGTTGTGTGGTGCATATGGAAACCTGCGCCACATGCTGTTATCCTGTCCGAAGGTACACCTATAGACATAACTTAGTTCTGAAGGTTGTAGCAGCAGCTTTGAGAAGTGCGAGTATACTCTCGACGGACCTGCGAAGGATTGCCTTCTTGAAGCAAGGTGTGACTGACACAAGGCAGAAGACCAGATCGAAGGACTCAAGAAAATGAAGATTGTTGGTTGATGCTACACTACCAGTGGAGGTTATTGTGTCTGGACTGAGGCTAGATAGCGAGAAGAAACATCTGTTACTTGGCGAGCTGAAGAAGGGGTTAAAGAGGCTCATGAAAGAAGGCTGCTTCGGTATGAAGAACTGGTGACTGAGGTCCGTGAGAGGGGATACGGCTGCATCCTGGTGTCATTTGAGGTTGGCTGTGGAGGATTTCCTGCTGCTTCCTGAAAGAGATTCCTTGCTGTTATCCAAAAGCCCAATAATGTAATAAAGACTTATGGCGAGAAAGTGGTGGAAGGCAGTGCGTGGATTACCCAGACATCCGTATCGAGTTGAATCCATCTAACAACATAGACCCGTGGCAGCGTAACATCATCCCGCTGCTGCGGCTCACCATGTGCAGAGGTATTGTGATTAATGGACCGAAACTTTGTTGAAGCACGGCGCTAGCTGAAGGTTGTAGCTGGTCTGGAACACTTGATGTACACACACACACACATATATATATATATATATATATATATATTTATATTAACGACTCTATCTCTCTCTCTCTATATATATATATATATATATATATATATATATATATATATATATATATATATATATAGATAGATAGATAGACTAGACTCGTTTCGAAAAAACCCTCGAATTTTTTGATTTTCTAATCAAATCAATCTCGAGGGAAAAAAAGGTTTTAAAAAAAGAAAGAGCTACAAACATGAACTTCTGCCGACAAAAAATCGCACAGATACAGGTCTGAAGCCCAAAGAAAAAACCCCGATACGAGTAAACAACTAACTAACAAAAGAGCTCAATACAACCGTAGAGCCAAACTTTCCCTGACGATCCGTTTAGGTGAAAACTAGGTAGGTTTGTTTGGCTCACTAGGTGTGTATATATATATATATATATATATATATATATATATATATATATATTATTTTTATATCTATTTGTCTGACAGATTTTACAACTTTAAACGATAAATTTAAAAGGATACTCATATATTTGAGTAGACTCCAATAATTTATTAAACACTATGTTTATTTATTTTGATCAAATATGAATATCCATTAAAACTTATATTAAACTGATTATATATATATATATATATATATATATATATATATATATATATATATATATATATATATATATGCTTATATATATATATATATATATATATATATATATATATATATATATATATATATATATACTGAATAGTTGGTAAAAATGGAATAAAATTCCAGTAACCAAAAACAATATTTAAAAAGTGCTCAATACAAAGTAGACCAAATTAAATATTATATATATATATATAAAATTTAAATTTATATATATATATATATATATATATATAATTAAAATATTATATATATATATAAATTAAAATATATATAAAATTAAATATTATATATATATATATATATTCACCTTAGACATTACACCATGTAACAGAGTTTGCGAAAACAACCACCATATTGTTCAGATCTAACCTCTCGCGAGATTTTCCTTTTCAAAAATCAATTCCAACTTGAAATGAAGAAAACTACTTCTATCAACGGGAACGATGCTAGATAAAGTATGTGGCTTCAGAAGGTGACTACTTCGAAGGAGAATAAATGTAGAATTAATATGTGTTGAAACTGACATTTTATAGCACCAGTCCCGTTACTTCTATCCGACTTGTGTGTGTGGGTGCGTATGTGTTTGTATACACACCTACACAAACAGTTGACAGAGAAATGAAGCTGACAGAGAACAACACTAACGTATTGATATCGATATATTTTGTACCATATTATCAGCTACTTGAGGTTTCATCGCGACATAAAATGAACACTCGCTGAAAAATAAATATCTGTGATGAATGATGGTAAAATACAAATAAACGGCAGCAAGTTTTAGGAATTATCCGGGCTTTGCTAGTCTTAAATTAATAGACACGTTATACATGTTCCATTTTCTGAGGGTTGTAAAGATGATATGACGGATAAAAGGAAAGGTTTCAAGAATTAAGGTGTTGTAAAATATAAATCAACAGTAAAGAATTTCACTGAATGTCCTGGATAACTGGGATGTAATTTGGATACTGACAGATTTTCCTTTGTCTTGGAGTTGGCAAAAATCTGTTATGACATAACTAGGAAAAAATAGTATTGAAATTTACAAGATATACAGTAGTGTTAAATTATTTTATTGTAAAAGAGAAATTGCAGAAATTGCTATAACCTCGCAATCAACTGTCTCTCGAGTGCTTAGGGCACATAATGATGCCACTCTTGCTCCAAGGAAGGAAACCAAGGACGAAAGAAAAGATTGGTGATAGAACTGGCAGGGTAATCAAGAGAGAAGTTGGCGTGAAGAATAGGACTATAACTAGCCGAGAAATTGCAGCCAGTCTAAGCGAAGAGCAAGGTGTTATAATTCTTGCCTCTTTAACAGTCCGTCAGAACAAGGTTACAAATCTTGTTAGAACAAGGCTACAAATCTTGTATACGAAGGTTTAAGCCGCTCATAAGCAAAGCCAACAAAGCCAAGAGACTTGAATGGGCTCACTATTTCACCGTAGAAGACTAGAAGAAAGTTGAGCTAAATTCAAATATTTGAGTCATATATTTATCGACCAGCACTATATATATATATATATATATATATATATATATATATATATATATATATATATATAGAGAGAGAGAGAGAGAGAGAGATAAGATAATATTAGTGGAAAATATACATACATATGCAAAATATATAAATACCCATACATGTATATTTTTAGAATAAAAATTCCAAGAGGAAGAATCCAGGTAGAACTCAAATGTCTAGGACAGAGTAAGGATATAATAAAAAATTAAACACTAATATTCCATGGTCATAATTTATTCCATTGAAATCGTAAATACGATCCAATTCATCAGACCTACAAATTCAAAATGAAAAAAAAGAAAAAATCAACTCCGGAAATAAAAACAGAATTTAGAGAAAGTATAAATATGAGGAGGAGGGAGATTGAATCTTAACAGAGAGAATTTTTAGGAGATGTGGGGGAAAGGGGTTTAATTAAGAGAAGAGAATGAATGTCGACGGATGTCTAATGCATAAAGATACATTTTTTCCTGGTGACATATATACACCATAGACAATTTGAAAGCTAGAATAAGAGGGAGGGGAAAAAAAAGAGAGGATTTGGGAGAGAGATGGGACGAAGGAAAAAAATTGCGTTTACTTAAAGGTCCGCTTTGTAATTGAGAAAATTTGACAAAATTAATATCGACTACAGGTTACAAATCAAATATAAATATATGACGATAAATGTAACGATTGTCTAATCCAGCAAGGACCTATATGAGACGGCTACATTTAGGTATTTCGACAGTGAAGGGTGAGAGCATATATGCCAGCCTCGTAGGGGCGCTTGAATTCATGAAGTCTGGGAACCAGCGAAAGCAGGTCATCAGAGCATTTATATTACCATGAAAGTATTTGTAAAAAAAAGACAGAAGGATTCACGCGTCTGTGAGAGAGTGACTGTAGACGAGACGCCAGAACAGGGCCAATTATAATGCATATCCGCCTCTGGATCTTATCAAGAACCCCGAGGCAAACAGAAGGGGCTTGAGACCATATATTTTAAGCAATACTCCATGCAAGGGGAAATTGTTGATTTGTAGATCTTTAGAGGAAATCTTTCCTTGCGGTGGACGAAAATTTTTGATTCAATGTATTTGTTCCATCTCAGGTCAGCAGTCAACGTCTATATCTACAGACGGAAATACATGCATTTTTTTTCGCTGGTATGTATATATATATATATATATATATATATATCTATATATATAAATATTTAATATCATATATATATATCCTATATTTGGGAGTCAAAAGCAGTGCGCATCACCTACCGAGAATTGAAAAAATTTTTAAATGACATATTTTAAATTATCAGGCAAACGTCATACCAACTGTCCCACGGCATATATTCAGTGACGAAGAGGTAGCAAATCAGACTCAATATAGCGCCGCTTTTCTCAAATATTCCGTAGTGGAACTCAATTGAAATTCTCTATAACCACAAGACTGTTATTTTAATTCCATGCGACTACTGTCAAAAAGGAGCCGCTCAAAAATAAGCATTAAAATTTTTCAATCAATGATATACATTGATATATATTATTAGGAGGATTTGATAATTAATTAAGTCATCGACGAATTAATTAATTATCAAATCCTCCTAATAATTCATAACCTGTCAGGGTTTCAATTTTCGGTAGTGGATGCGCACTGCTGATGAGTCCCAAATATAGGACGAAACAAAATTTCCAGTGCTTTCTGCATTCTGTTGAGGTTTCTTTTCAGACTCGATGAATTGCTTAATTAATTACCAAATCCTCCTAATAATTTTAAGATATATATATATATATATATATATATATATATATATATATATATATATGTATGCAAGCAAATATATGGATATATTTGATATATGAAAAAAAAATATTTAAAAAAAAAAAAAAAATTTAAGATATTATGGCATGTTGTTTTAATGTTAATATGTCCGACGTTGACATATTAACATTAAAACAGCATAATTGTATATAAGGATTGTTTGTTTTTTCCGTATATTTTTCTTCATAAGATAACGATTGAATTTACATTTCAAATTTTTGAATATCAGAGTTAATCAGGAAATAATAAAACAGAAGGGAGATCCACAAACGTCAACTGCGATAGAAGAAACTGTTATTATTTCAACTGCAAAATGAGAAAAGACTGCCGTCAATCTAGTACTGCGCTTACAGTTAAATTCATAAAATGCAGATTTATCATGTAAGTTCATCAGAAAGATTCTCATGTAAGGTTTTTTTTTTTGAAAAGGCACAGATAATGTATGGTTAAATTTATGATTTGTAAAGTTTATTTCTATACACACACACACACACACACATTAATATATATATATATATATATATATATATATATATATATATAGATAGATAGATAGATAGATAGATAAAACTATACTTGTTTTTCGAAAAACCCGAATTTTTGATTTGCCAATAATCAAATCAATCTCGAGGGAAAAAAAAAGGTTTTAAAAAGAAGGAGCTAGGAACATGAAAGTCTGTCGAAAAAAATCGCACAGATACAGGTTTAAAGCCCAAAGA